ACGTTCCTGTGGTCAGCCCTTCCGCTCGGGCTTGTCCAAGCACCCGGGCAATGGCGAGCCAAACCCAGCAGTGCAATGCTTTTGTCTTGCTTTAATTAGAGTAGGACACAATTACTAGTGGCATGTTTTTATTTCCATTTGTTCATTCTGACAGCAACCAAAGGAAGCCATTATCTCTACAAGAGGATGTTTCAGCAAGTGTTACGGTAAATAAAGCTAACAGGACCAGTGCAAAAGAGAGTATCACATTCTCTTGCAGGCAGCAATCGATAACCAGGTTGTTACAAGCCAGATCTTTTCAAGAGGCACGATAGTGAGTCCACGCTCAAATCGGCCTTTAATCTTGGAGGATGACTGAGCTCTTTACAGGCTGATACATTTATCACAGTCTATCTGCCCCGTAACACAGGTATCCCTGTAAAGACATACGGCAGTTCTTTCAGCGCTGTCAGAGATGAAGAAAATAAGTTGGATGGCACCCACACGCCCCTCTGGGGCTATAAGTTTCTGCATGGATCAGGCTAAAGATGGAAGGTCAGGTGTGGATTTGACCTTGGATAATGTTTCCCAACCTTCCCTGCTCCATGGACAGTCGCAACCCTGAGCACACAATGTCCTCTTGGAAACTCCTCTGGTCCCCTTAGCCTGGGACAGCAGCCTCGGTTTTAACTTTTCTGCAGCCCTTGGCTGCAAGCAACGTTGTTCTCGGAGGCAAAATGTCACTGAAGACCTGGTCTTCATGCTGGCGAATGAAGTACTTAGGCAATGTGATGTTTGTTGAAATAGCAAAATATCTTCTAAAAGTGTTTTTGTGCAACACTGAAGAAAAATGGTAAGAGCTGCGTATACTGCAGGGTGTTCATTCTTGAGATCTCCAGTATTTCCTATTCTCTTCATTTTAGCGTAAGTCTTTTGATCTTTGTTGTTTGCCCCAAAGCTGTGGGCATTAGGTGAGCTTCTCAACTTTATTTTATAATAAAAATGTAGAAGTTTGTAGCCTTCAGGGATTTGGAGAAAAGTTTGAAAATGCGATCATAAAGTTCAAGAAACCAGAGTGCAATTAGGAAAAGCTCAAACATTTATAATTTTCTTTTAAAAACAGAACAAAACCCCTTGTGATTTTTAAGCCATGATTCTCTGGAGCCTGACGCATAATTTTTGAGTATGTGGGGTTGGCAGTGCTGGAAAGGATGCTTTTCTCTGCCCAGATCATGTATTTCTACTGGGAATTTTATTTACCAGCTACTTTAACCATTTCTGCCCCTCTTTCTTGGCCGGTCTCTCCTGTGGCTGAGGCGCCCCCTCCATCTCTGGGGTCTTGGAAGGGTGGCTGGAGGTAGTGATGGTGGCAGCTGGGACTGCCATGGGGGCAGATGCTGGGCTGCCCTGTGTGGGTGCATCTGGCCGTGTGTCTCAGACCTGTCAAGCAGCAAAACCTGCCCAAAGGCCCTGTCCTGGTGGGGAAGGACCTGGGGAGCTCACCAGGAGCAGCAGCACCCCTCATACCCAGCTGAGTGGCAGGCAGGGTGCACGGCTCCTCCTCCAAAACCCGACAGCTTTGCTTGGAGGGTTATCTCCAGCCTGCAGAGCTTGCTGGAGGGACACGATCTCTGCCGGGAGCTCATGAAGGGCAGGGGATCTTTTCTTTCGGGGGTTTGTTTGGATGGTGTGGTGGCTCCTGTGAACGGGGCCCCCAGTGTGACTCTGCTCTCAGTGGGGCACGGAAAGGCACGGTGCCTTCCCAAAAACCCCGCAGGGCTGTGGTGGTAACACCGCCGGTCTCTTCTCTCTGCTTCTCCCGCCCCGAGCCGCCCTCCCTCAGGCACTGCTCTTTTATATTTTTAGAAAGCACAGTTTATGTTTTTTCAATGCTAGCTTTGCACGTCAGCAGCCACTGCACAATGAACTCTCAGGGGCCCGTTTATTTTGCGAACGAGTGTCGTACCCTGCGACAGTGTTTTCCACCACGTTGTCATGAGCACCCTGGGCTCTAGCTGCTTCAAAATGGCGGCCTATTGTTTGGTGTCCCAAGCCCCGCTTTAAACCAGGTCCCCCCCGGACCTCTTTTAATAACTCCTCTCCACGATCTATTTACCCCCCAGCGCTTTCAGAGGCAGCGGGGAAGGGCTCATTCCCTTTTTTAGGGACACACACAGCAACATGCCGCAAGCAGCCCCTCTCTCTGCCTCCCTCCCAATTTTTTTGGAGTAGTCCTGATTTAATCCAGTGCGAGCCCCTTGCAGAACTGGAGGGTTTGGGGGCTGGTCAAGCGTGCGACACCGTGCTCTTTGCTGCAGGGGCACAGCCCAGCCTGGTCTTCATGGAACGATGCCTGCAATAGGGACATTATGCTTTGGCCTGCCCTGTCGAAGGTAGTTTTGAATTATAAAAAATTAAAACTTCAGCCCTCTGGGTAGAGGAGGGCAACGATGAGCAGGGCTTTGTTCTGCAGCTACAGGATGACCATGGAGATGTTTTGTCAGAGAACATGCAAGACCACTAGGAAAGTGCAGAGGCCACAGCCTGGCTGGGCAGGGCCAGGATCTCCTCCCTCGCTGGCTGGGCTTGGGGACTCTGACAATTCTCCTTAGAAATGACTTTGCTCCACCTCCCAGTGGCCCCACTGCGTGTACCCATATTGACATCATTTCCCCACCTTTTCCTGCAAAAATAGCTAATTACAGGGAGCTTGCTTCTCCATCCCCGTCTTGTAAGCACCTGTGAGTCGTGTGGCCACGGTGGAACACCCTTGGCTAACCTGTACCATCCCAAACCAAGCTTTCAGGCCTTTGAATGTTTTCACATTTTCCTAGCTGGGCTGAGCGCCCTTCCAAATCGTCAGCCTGACGCCACCCATGCTGATTTATGTTCTCCGAGAAACGCAATTGTAACTATTTCCACTAAGAGAGCCCTCAAAACCCTAAATGGCTCCAAAGCTGTGAAGCGTGCCCCAGTCTGGGACCGCAATGCCCCTGGCTCCCTGAAAATTGCCTATTATATTTTCCTGAATTTGGCTGTATCCAGTGCCTCGGTTAAATGGTGTTTTTGCTTTCAGCACGTGCACGTGCGCAAGGCACAACATCTGCTTACCCTGACGTGGTGCCCACGCTTTCAGACTCTACCAGGACTCCTTTCTCCCACTTACGGCTTCTCCCCAGGTAAGTGCCTCTTTTGGTTTGTCCTGTTCCTTTCTATATTTGCTCATCCACTTTGAAAAGAGCCCAGGATGTTATTGTTGTTTATTTTGGGCTTGTCGGGTGTTTTGCTAGCAAAGAGGGCGCAATTCTTGCGTGGCTCCAAGGACAACGTGCTTTATTTCGGACACAAGCAAACCCTGGCTTGCACTTAGCATGTGCAGGCTGTTGCGCAGCGCTGCGTTCACCTTCGGAGGTATATAAAGGGTAATGATAATGTTGCCCAGAAGGCTAACACATCAAAGGCCAAGGAGCAGTTAAAATGTATTACGAGCTGTTGGCAGTGATTGTGGGGGGTATTCATGTATTGCTGGTTTTGGACAGCCTGAGTAAATGAAAACCCTCTGGATTAATTGGTACACCAAAGAGATTTGGAAGAAAATGGAGATTGATGGAAAATGACAAACAAGGGAAAATACAGATAGCTGGGTGTGCTGACCTACGGCGGGGCACCGCTGATTAACTTGCGGCTCCCTACTGTGCCCTGGGAAGCCGAGCAGAGCCGGGGGTGCCCTGCCAGCGGCTCACCGGGCGCTTTGGTGGGAGCAGGCTGAGCCCCACGGGCAGCATCTGCAGCGCTGCTATTCCAGAACAGCCAAGCGGGTAGTTAGAGGTGAGACTTACCAGGTGTCTGGTGACACCTGGACACCACGGGACAAGAGTTTAATTATTTTTAATGATGTGGGGGCTGGGGGAGGCAGGGGAGGCTGTGTGGTGCCTGGTGTCACAGAGCGACTGAAGCTGGGAACTTCAAGATCAATTTGCACAGAGACCACTGGATGAATTGGATGATGACCAACATGGGGAATATTGAATGATATGATTCCATCTTTTACTAGGATATCCATACTCCAACTACTATTATGTTTTTTTCTTACTAATGCTTCAATTATACATAAATGGGATCTAACCTAAGTGTGACAGTGACAGCCATACAAACACCAATCATACCAGCTCATTCATTAATTGACCGGCTGGAGCAGGACCACCACCTCTCAACACAGCATGGCCATACCAGGTAAGTCGTGTCCTTGCAGACCACCCGACTGTTGATCAGGGCAGGGTACCCGTGCTGATGACACTGGGCAACTGGCTGTGCCCTGGGGGTCTTTCACCTGTCCGCACCAGGGCTGCAAGGGCAGAAGGTCCTTGTCTTTTCTCTGATCAGCACCTGGGTTCAGCAATGGGTTTCCAAAAGTATTTCCCCAAAGCCAGCTTGCCGTGACTTGTCCTTGTATCAGTGATCTCTCATCTGGACATCACATGGATCATCCCATTGGGTACTTCCTCAGTCCTCTTGCCACAATCTTACCTAGTCGTCGCTGACTCTGGTAGATCACACTTTTCTACTGTTAGTCTTAACTAGACACCTTGCAGTTTGGGTGGTTTACTATTCTGTTACATGAGTTCCCCCACAGTCTGACAGTTTGCTTCGTTCCTTCACCCAATGTCTTAACTCCACACTGCACATATTTGTCTCTTGCAGACTTGACGAAACCTTCTCATAGGAAGACAATCCCAGAAGGTGGTGTGCTTCTGGTCACCTGGTGATTTACAAGCTCTCTTTTTCCTCACATATCCATTCAGTGCATGGAAGAGGGGAAGGAAGAGGCTGCTCGAACTGGCAGGTTCTCCCGACCATGTGTCCTTCTCCTGGCAGCTGTGTGGGTGTGATGGAGATGGAAGGTAAACAACATGGGGTGGGGACAAATTCCAGTGGGACCTTTCCATGTCCTTTCCCTGAATATACTTTGGAGAAAATCATGCAAATAAATAGTCAGCAGAAAGACAGAGAAGGAAAGCGCGATGCCGTATGCAGTGGTACCTGCACAGGTAGGATTGCTCATCTCCCCAAAAGCCTGGCCTCCTGCTGACCCAAGCCTGACAAACTCCCCTAGCTCATTGTCACAGATGACTTAAAGCACGGCTCAGCTCTGCAGCCTCCGTCACTACCCATCCCACTGTCCTTCTGCTGGCAATCTCCTTCTTTCCATGGGTCTCGCAGGAAAAGCCTTGTTTTCTGCTTGTGCCAGGGAGCATTGTAGCAGGGTGACAGAAGCATCAATCTTCTACACTTTTTTTTCCTATAGTGAGGGCATAAGAATGCGCATCACCAACTTATTTCTGACATGTTCCTGAAAAATTCCTTGCTTCTCCCATAAATCTGAGACATATACATAAAGGATCTGTTTTCAGTCTTAGAGATAAAGACAAGCTTCAATTTTAAAATCTATTTATAAAACAAATTGCATTGTAATTCATAATCTTAAACTGAAGTTTTTAAAGGGCTCTTATCCTTGAAAAAAAGAGACCAATTCATTTTTGGTGACTAATGATGAAATGTTTTCTAAAGGTGGCTGAGCACAGCACAGAGAGTCCTAAATATATTTATTAGCTTATTAAACATAATTAATTGAATCTGGTTGCTAGTATTAGCTATGCCTTTGCAAGTGAAAAGTGCTTTGGTTAGCTAGACAGTTTCTTATCAAAGAACAAAAATACAACATTAAAATATATGCAGCTTACTGAATAATCATGTTATTTGTCAGACAAGCAGAAGAATCATCACTGAAGTGCTCTCAAAGTGCCAAATTGGGTAATATACATAATTAGGCCCCATTTGATTAGATATGTGTCCATGGTAACAGCCACACTCATGATACACATATTAGTACAGCCTTGAAATAATCTTCAAGGGGGGTGATGGCAACAGAGCGCATCTGAAGCTTCACTGGGGAGACTTTTGGAACATAACCTACATGCCGATATCCTCTGTTCCTGTGGTTATTCTTTATTTTATCTCATTATCTTTTATTTTTAAAACAATGTATGCCTTGGTTCTCAAAGGTGATATACTGCTTCCATGAAATGTCACTACGCTTTTTTCCCTAAAAGGAAGATCTCGTAATGATCTGCATCACGTTTGAAAGCCTAAAACCTGCCTATATTTAGGGAGGCATCCCGGCAATTGGCAAGGCTGCTGCAAGCTGTTCCTAGGAGGTGGGAACAATCATCACCTGGAAACCAGCCCATCTCGGATCCGCTCTCCTCTCGCAGCCCAGGACAGCCCGGTGATGGATAAGGCCTTCTGGATGTTCTTTTAGGCTTTCACAGCAGCCTCGTGAAGAGACCGCAAGGTCTCAGCAAGAAGACTGATTTTGCATCAGATCCAAGCCTCTGTGAGAGCTTGCAAGCGCTGAGATACTGCCAACCCACAGGGAACGAGTCCGGAGGGTACTGTCTGGGTAACAGTGGAACCCAAGAGAGTTTGTTTAGCTGTAGATGCAATATGAATTGTTCCTGCAGTTTATTTTTACATGCTTAGAGGGTGGATGAGTTTGGAAGGGCTGAAGAGAAGCAGAGAATTAGCAGAATGAATTATTATTAGGGGTTATTTATACAAAATGAGAGAAATATATCTCCTGGTGCAACAGTGTATGTCCAGGGCTGATGAGAGTTGCTGCTTTTGCAGTAATGCGTACTGGGAAATTTTTTAAAGAAACTTTTTCCCCCAATAAGGAAGAGACCAAGCTATGGAAAAGTTCCCCCAGATGAAGGCACCAGGGAAGGACTGATGTGCAGCAGAGCAGCTTAGGCAATGGGTGCTGAGAGTCTGGCAGGAGAGGCGTGTGGAGCCCCAGTCCTGGCCAGTCTGGTCCAGAGGGCTAAGGTGTACGTGGCTAGTCTGGTCACATCAATTATCCCATCAGTGCAAGAGAACCATAGCATATCCACCTGTGGATACCTCACCCTGTAGAAACAAGATGGAACATGGCATCAAGGGATCCTGTTTGGAGACATATGATGGAGAGGAAATCAACACTGAAAGACTGGGAAAAATAAATGCACAAAGAAGATTTAGGATATCTTTTAGCTTTGGGGAAGAAGAGGGCTATCCCAAGCATACAGGAAACACAGAACAGCTAAAAAGCTTTGGCCAGGGAGAGCACAGGAGAAGAGTTTATTCCCTGGTTTGGCTGTCACCTGGCACAGAGGAGGGGAGCACTTTCTCCAAGGGGCCAGTGACACAGACAGCCCCGTTTGCAACCTTCAGCTGGAGGGCAAGAACGCTGTAAGTCATGTCCACACAGAGCTGTCGAACTGTAACTAGATGCAGTGTTAGGATTACACCTACCGAGGCAAAAATAGACCCGTGGATCCACCTTGGTCATGCAGCATGTGATTGGGAGTGTGTCACCTTTCTCTATATTAGCATGCTCTTAACCATGGTCAGGGGACAGGATCCATAATCCTCAGCGATATAAAATAAGATCACTGGTAAAATTATACTAAAGTTGTGTTGTGAAATTCCCACACCCTTCCCTATTCTCTTTCATTAAGTGTGCTGGCTTTTAGCTTTGCTCCCCAAAGCAGGCGATTATTCAAACCAGTTCCTCGCTACTCACATCAGCACCAAACTATGAGGTCTGAAATGGGTCGGAGCAAACCCCGTGTCTGCCCTGGTTGAGAGCGGGAGTACTCTAAAGGGAACTGAGTTGTGTGTGAAGCCTACAGTGATGGTAGTGATGGATGTGCCAGCCCTAAATACCCTGTTTTTAGAGTACCTTGTGGACAGCCACTGCTTGTGTTTGACAGCATACTTGTACTGGTTGTGCCCAGAGACTTGGGACCTCCTGCAGACCAAAGGGTCTCCTCCAGTCATGGAGCTGGAGGCCTGGCAGCTGTATGGGTGGTGGAACCAGCCTGGAGAGAGGCCTGGGGGTGCCACTGGAAGCCACAGTGGATGTATGGTGTATGTGAGTGAGGGTACTCCTGCACACATGCGTGTATAAGCAATATTGGTCCCTCCTGTGGTAAATGACTCTAAGTAGAGCTATGGGAAATTTTGCATTTCTGTTTCTCTTTTCCAGAACAGAACAAACTGGGGCAAAAAAATAGGAAAAAATTGTTTCCTGGAATTAAAACAGTCATGTTCAGAAATATCTCTGTGTTCTGTTTTGACATTTTTTGGATCAAAGTGAAGCATTTTGACGTTTCTGAGGTAGGAATGTTTTGTTTCAATTTGTTGAACTGACATGAAACGTTTTGTTTCAAGTCTGCTTAACATTAAAGTAGGCAGCGCCTTTCCTTGGGTTTGGGTCCCATTCTCCCCTCTGGGCTGTGCTCCCTGGGAGCTCTGCCCAGCTCCCATAAAGCTTGGGCAAGGTCCACGTTGTTCTCAGTAAACGCAGCTCAGCCACAAGCCCCACGCACAGGAAAGAAGAGAGGTCTTTTTGGGAAAGTTCTCTTTGACGCTGAACTCAACCGAAATGAGAAAACTTGAGGGCAGTTGAAGCTAAGCGCTCCGTTCCGGTTCACCTCCAACAAAACGTCATTTCTTGTCAGCAGCGTCCCTGTTCTTCCCACAGGCACTTTTTGTGTTGCAGAAGCTGTTTTCTGATGAAAAAAGGCAGCGATCTCCCAGTGAGTGCCTGCATAGGTGTTGACATGATCTACACCAATAAGCTCCCCAAGGGGGGCGGACTGGGTCCCCTGGACTTAGCGGTGAAGCTGTCCTTTACTGTCACTTGAGCAGATTCTCCAACAAGCTCAAGACCCCCGCTCGCCTGTCGGGGGCTGGCTGAAGCCAGGGCAGCCTCTGGCTCCGCTGTCCCCGAGGGGGCTGCGACAGGAACAGGAGTTTCCCCCAGGACATCAGCAGACCCTGCTCTCTTTATAGAAGTGGCTGTGGGGTCTTCCTGGGATTTCTGAAGAATTTTACCTAAAGGTCCGTCCAAAAATTGCTTTGGTTCATTCTCAACGGCTCTCAATAGGACCAGGCAGATCTTACTACTTACTGTGGGGGATAATTGAACCCGTCTCCCTCCCCCTTTCCTGGGCAACAGCTTCAAAAGATCTCTGATTTTGCTCACCAATCAAGCAATCTCATTTGCAAAACAACTGCAAGGGCCCTTCGAAAGCAGAGGGTCGGGTCCTTTGTTAAATAGTCGCTTTTGGTGACACAAAGGAACCATAAAGGTGATGGAGCTGCAGCCTGGACAGCCGCGGTTCCTGGACTGTGCAGGCTGACCTCCCTCCCCCTCCGCTCTCATTTCAGACCCCGAGCCTAAGGATTATGCAGGGCTTGAGCCCAAGGAGAACAAGGTGCATTGCAACTATTCTTAGCTCCAAAAATTATTCCTGGCTTGGCTTTGAAATCTGAACCAGGGTTAATTTCTCTCCCCCTTCCCCCAGTCTGTTTCCTCTCCTCTTTCATGTACCTATTTGCATAGACTGTCATCGTAAGAATCTCCATTAAAATTGAAAGCCTCCTTCCTGCATGTCACCTCTCGCAGCCCCCTTCCGCTTGCCCTGCGTGACTTTTGGAGGGCTGGAGAGCAAAGGTCCCGCGCTAGCATCGCCTCCCCGAGCCCTGCATTCCCCCTGCCGTCAGTCCCGCTCCTCTGTTGCTATAGGAACGTCTATCAACTCGGGAGTGCTAGAGAGAAAGAGCAGAGAATTATCTTAATTATTTAATGATTGATTAATATACGTTTATAGAGCACTTCAAAACTGTGCATCCTTCTGTAAATTATTTATTAACCAGGCAAGCGGCCTAATTTGCTGAACATCCTCCACTCTTGCTGGTTTCAGTGGGAGGAAAGGGTTGTAGGCAGCTTGCAGGTTTTGTGATAATTGTATTACCAAGACTACTAGTAGTTCTGCTGCAGGAAAATAATTTAAATATGAGCTTTTGCTTCAAGTTTTTGGAGGCAGGGCTGCTCCCATCACCTGCCACTGAGGTTGCTCAAATGCCTCCATTATAAAGACCTACCTTCAGCTGCCCTTTGGCAGATTTTACCCACCTGGAAAGAAGGATCAGGCTTGATTCT